AGCAGCAGAAGATGGCCCAAGTCCTTGGGTCCCTGCACCCACATGGGAGACCTGGAAGAAACTCTATGGCTCCTGGCTTTGGATATGTGCAGCTCTGTCCGTTGCAGCCATCTGGGTAGTGAACTAGTGGATGTCAGACCTCTCTCTCAGTCCCTCCCTCTTTCTGTAACCCTGCCTTTCAAATAAAAAATCTTTAAAGAAAAAAATAAATGTGCTATTTAGTTTCCAAATATTTTTTAATTTTCCAGATATCTTTATTGATTTATAATTTAATTTCTTGTGATCAAAGAATATACTTTGTATGACTCGAATCCATAAAAGTTTATTGAAACTTATTATATAGTCCAAAATGTCTTCATTAGTGACCTTATACATTTCAAAAATTATGTAACCTTTTTGGGTAAGTGTTCTAATAAATGTCAGGTCAACTTGAGTGATGATGTGGCCAAGTCCTCTAAGTACTTACAGACTGTCTGCTTACTTGACTTGTGAATTATTTGGAGAGGTGTTTAAATCTGTGACTGTAATTAAAGATTTGTCTGCTTTTCCTTACGATTCCATAAGTTTTAGCCTGGCATTTTGAACATGTTATTGTGTGTCTAAACATTTGGGGTAATTATGTCCTCTTGATGAGTTGGCCCCATTATCATTATGAAACAAACTGCTTTATCACTGACAATATATTCTTTGCTATAAAATCTACTCTGATATTAATATGCTTACTCCAAGCTTCTTTCAGACTAATTTTAGGATATTATTTTCTATCCTTTTAATTAGTATAGTTTTTTCACTGTATTTAAAATGAGTTTCTTAAAGCCAATATGTAGTTAGGTTTTGCTTTTTTTTTCCAATCAGGCAATCTCTGTATCTTAATTGGGGGTGTATTCAGTTAATATATTTATTGATGTAGTTAGATGTAGGTTTATCACCTTGCTTCTCATTTTCTCTCTGTCTCATCTATTTTTGTTTTCCCTTTACTTTTTCTATTAGATTATTGTATCACTTTGTTTATTTTTATTTCTTTTGTTGGCTACTTAGCAAAGTCCTTATCTTGGTATTTCAGTGATCACTGTAGCTTTATACCAGGTACCTTTAATTTACTTCAGTCGACCTTCAAGTAATATTGAACCACTTTACATGTTGTATATAAACTTAAAAATCCATTCCCAACTCCCAGGCTCCCAGCCTTTGCGCTTCTGTTGTCATCTGTTTCTCTTATACAAATGTTATACATACCACAGTAGACTATTTTCTGTGCTTGTTTTAGAGATATTTAAGTAGTGTGAAATCAATTTTCTATATTTCTATTCCCAGCACCCTTCATTTCTTTGTATACATCTAGATTTCCATTTGCTATCATTTTCCATCCTCCTAAGAGATTTCCTTCAACATTTCTTTGAGAATATCATAGCACAAGTCTGCTGATTATTAGTTCTTTCAGATTTAGTTCTTGAAAAATATTTTCACTGCTATAGAACATAGGTTGACAACTTTTTTTTTCTGTACTTTAAAGATATAGCTTCATTTTCTTCTGTATTTTTTTACTACAGGAATTATGATACCATCCTTAAATTTATTTTTCTAATACATAGTATATATTTTTCTGACTGTTTTTAAGATAGTCTCTTCATTATAGTTTTGAGCAGTTTGGTTATTATTTGACTTCATGTAGTATGGGGAGCAACTCGGACTAGACTGTTACTGGAATTAAGACTTATTCTATGCATCTGATCTCCCACAATATGGCGCTGAGAAGGGAGTAACAACTTCTACGCAGCTGCCTCTCGCCAACTTGAGTGATGACCTGCAGGAGCTGATCCTGCTCCTGATTGGAGGAGAGCAGCGTACTCGGCGTGTGGGTAGCAGAGTTGGGATTGGTGGAAGAGGACTATAAAGGAGGAGAGAGACAACATGCACCAGGAACACCTGAGGAACATCTGAGCAGCCCCCGAGAGAGCCGGCTGGCGGTGTGCTGCTCCCCCGCGGAAGTGGGGAAAGTGGCAGGGGGAACCGCCCTTCCACGGAGGTGGAGGGATGGTAGCCAACCCGGGAAGAACCAGCAGCAAACCCGGGGAGGGCCAAGCAGACAAAAGAACAGCGCAGGGTCCTGTGTCGTTCCTCCACGAAGACAGGGAGCGACATAATGGTGCCATGACTCGGATAGGAAACCTAGACAGGGTCCTGTGTCGTTCCTCCGTGAAGAGGGGGAGCGACAATGTAGTTTTCTTTTCTTTTCTTTTTTTTTTTTTTTCAGGCAGAGTTAGACAGTGAGAGAGAGAGAGAAAGGATTTCCTTCTGTTGGTTCACCCCCCAAATGGCTGCTATGGCTGGTGCACTGCCGATCTGAAGCCAGGGGCGAGGTGCTTCCTCCTGGTCTCCCATGCGGGTGCAGGGCCCAAGCACTTGGGCCATCCTCCACTGCACTCCCAGGTCACAGCAGAGATCTGGACTGCAAGAGGAGCAACAGGGACAGAACCGGTGCCCCTACCAGGACTAGAACCGGTGTACCGGCGCCGCAGGCAGAGGATTAACCTAGTGAGCCGCGGCGGCAGCCCTTGTTTCTTGTGTTGAGTTTTATATTGAGCTTCCTGGTTCTCTGGCTTGATACTTTTTTCAAACTAGGAACACAGAAATAACTAGCACACAACAAGGTAAAATTCACAAAGTCTGGCATCCAATCAAAGATGTAAAAGTAGAGCAGCCTATTAGTCTAGTGGTTAAGCATCCCACATCAGAGTTAAATTCCTGGGTTCCATTCCTGGCTCTGGCTCCTAACTCTGGCCAAATGAAATTGTGGCCATTAGTTCTTCAAATATTTTTTGTCTCCTCTCCAATCTACTTGCCTTAGGAGGCTCAAATTCCATGTTAGGCAACTTAAAGTTTCCCAACTCACTGATTTGTTTCCAATTTTGGGCCATTTCTATTGCTATGTCTGCAACTTCAGTCATCTTTCACGAGCGATATCCAATCTGCGTTAATTTCGTCTAGTGTGTTTGTCATCTCACACACCATTATTTTCATTTTATTATCACCAAGTTCAATTTGGGTCTTTTTTTAAAACCTCTTTTATGTCTGTATTTAACCTTTTAAACTTGTAGAAAATGATTATAGTAACTGTTTTAATGTCCTCTTCTGTTAATTTAACATCCGTGTCAATTGGGGGTCAGCTTTGATTGGCTGCTTATTGTCCTCATTATGGGCCATGTTTTCCTGTCTCTTTGCATGTTTCATAATCTTTTTTAAAAAATGTTATTTAGTGGGGCTAGCGTTGCGGTGCAATGGGTTAAGCCACTGCTTGCGCTGCTGGTATCCATGTGAGAGTATCCGGTTCTAAGCCCCAGCTGCTCCACTTCTGATCCAGCTCCCAGCGAATGTTCCTGGGAAAGCAGTGGAAGATGGCTCAAGTACTTGGGCCCCTGCATGCACGTGGGAAACCCAAATGTTGTTCCTGACTTCTGGCTTCAGCCTAGCCCGACCCAGGATGGATGGAAGATTTCTTTGTCTGTCTTTCCCTCTTTCTCGGTCACTCTGCCTTTCAAAAGCATAACTAAATCACATTTTCTTAAAAACGTGAGAGAGACCGTACACTTCCTTCTGCTGGTTCACTGCCCGCATGCCCACAACAGCTATTGCTGAGCCAGGTTGAAGCTGTCCAGGTCACCCACGTGGGTGGCAGGAAGCCAGTTAAGGGAGCCACCCCTCTTGCCTCCCAGGGTCTGATGTGCAGGAAGCTTGCCTCAGGAGTTGGAGCCAGGAACTGAACCCAGCCGCTCCAACGTGGGGTGCATAACCGCTTGGCATCTTAACTTCGATGGGCATGCTAACCACAGAGCCACATCCCGGCTCTACTGCATAATCTTTGACTGGATGCAAGACTTTGCAATCTTTACCTTTCTGCACGCTGGTTATTTCTATGTTCCCATGAACATCCCTGGATTTTTATCCTCTGGTGCAGTTAAGTCACTTAGAGTCTGTTCCTTTTTGGTCTCATGGTTATGATTTTTTAGCTGCATCTAAGCTGTGTTTAGTGTAGAGCCCATTATTCCCCTGCTGCTGAGGGAAAAATCTCTCCCCTGAGTACCCTACCCAGTGCCTTGTGAGTCAAGAATTTTTCCAGTGCAGCTGGTGGGAGCAGGCATGGCCAGCCCTAGGTGAGGGCTTGATGTCCTTGTGCTTTCTCTGGCGGAAGGGTTCCTTCTCCAGACTCCAGGTAATGTCTCACACACCTGCTGACCGCTGTTCTCCCCAGCCGTGGGGGAGGGAGTCCCTCAGCTCAGCCAGTGTCCTCTCCCTGTGCTGCCTTCTCCTCTCTAGTAACTTGTCCTTGAACTCTAGCCACCTCAGTCTCCCTGGACTCTCGACTCAGTCTACCCGGTACCTTCTGGGTCCCCTTCCCTGCATTGTCCTGGAAACTCTAAATTAGCAGTGCCCTCCTGTCTTACTTTGCCTGTTGTTTCCATCTTGCAGGAATCACTGTCCTATTACCTGAGTCCTGGCCCTAGATACCAGTGTTTCCTAACCTTTTCCTTTTGTCCTGGGGTATTGTTTTGTTTGTTTGCTTACCTCAGGCTGAATCTGCTCCCTACTGCTCCTTCTTGGCTGGAGGTGAAGATTTAACAACAATCATTTATTTTCTGTCCCAAGGTCAATTGGGGTTCAACTGGTCTAATTGGAGCGCATAGAGATTTGTTTGGGCCCAGCCAATTTCTACTGGCCATATACGTGCACACGTACATATACCGCATATAAATATGTCAAATATATGTGAAAGAAGACTGTTGGCTTAGTTGAAACTTGAAGTCAGCCTGAAAGTTTTAGATAAAAGTCACTACTAGCTACCGCGGTCTTTTTGGGTACAATACTGATAATTTCTAGGAAGTCATGAATATGGTGTTGAAATTTTCCTGGATTCTAGCATCAGTCCTGGGAGGAGGGGATATGTATAACTGAAAGTAACTGTGAAATTTGTCATTTAACACCTTTTTTTCTTTAAAAATTAGATGACAATGTTTATAAGAATATGCAAGAGTCAGAGGAAACCCACCTATCCAACCACCTAGATGAAATCGTTGCTGCCGTCAGCATCACTCCCAGAAACAAGAGCCAAAGCAATCTGACCCAGACAGTGCTGTTCCAGCCCCCGCGGGAGAAGCTGCGGCTCTGTGAAGAGAAGGCGAGGGCCTGCTCCAGCAGCCAGGAGGTGAGCAGCCCCTGCCCTCTGCACCTGCGCTCAGGGCGCTGGGCCAGAGTGTCTGACCCAGACTCGCAGGGCATTTGCTTCCTGATCTTGGGAGCTTGATGCAAGGCGGTATATGAGAGAGTGCCTTTCTGACAGTGTGAGGGCGTGTGGGACCTCAGGGCTGTAGGCAGCATGGCTGGCAAGGGCAACAGTGAATATGCACTGAGCTCCTCCTCCGTGCCAGGTCTGAGAGCCGGAACCTCCCGCGCGTAAAGCAGGTGGTGCTTCTGCCCTCACCGAGCCCGGTGTGCCGTCTGTCCGTCCTCTGTGTTCCTGCAGACTTCCCTCCCACTCTCCCCTCAAAAGTTTCCTCTGCCCACTCCTTCATTCCCTGTTGCGTTTCTTATGTGTCAGATCCCATCTGTCCAATCATTTGCCATTTCTTTCACAAGAATCTAAGGCTGAGATGTGCTTGGTGCTGGGCAGGTGCTGGGGGCACACGGGGGACAGCCCCAGCCTTGGTACTGGAGAGGCTTGTGGTTTGGTTGGAAAGATTGATGGGGAACAGATAGTGGAAGTCAGTGTGATAAGTCTTGTGAGGACACAAGTTTGGGGTTATATGGGTGCAAAACAGAAAGGGGTGGGCAAGGAGCCTGCAGGTGGTGCAGGGACAGCAGTTAAGGCTCACTTCTTGTGGTGGGAGTTGCTCGGACAGCACTGGGAGCAGTGCTTTGGAGCAGCCAGTTCAGGAGGAAGACAAAGGTGTTCTGGGCAGAGGTCGCAGATGGACAAGAGCCCGGGGTCTGAAAGACACAGTCTGTTTGGGGAGCTACAGGAATGATCTGGGATGAAGGCTGTGGTGATGTGCAGGAAAATGGGGCTGAGCTAAGGCCAGGAGCTGGGACCCAGAGGAGACTTTGCCCTGCAAAGAGTTTTGATTTTCTCCCAAAGATCCTGGAGGTGGAGCACGGGACTGAAGCAGGGAAGTGCCATGGCAGATTTCAGCTTCAACAGTCACCCCCACAGCTGTGTGAAGAATGGATAAAGAAAGAATAAAATGGGGTGAGGAGGATAGGTTAGGAGGATATTTGCAGTAGACTGAGGAGTTAGGCGGGCCTCAGCTGGGCATGTATGGCAGAGGCAGCAGAGAGGCTAAGATCTTTTGAAAGGAACTAAGAAATGCAAATCAGTGGGCCTGGAAGACTAGGGAGCTAGGGACTGTAGAGAGTGAGAGAGAGGCAGAGGGGCTGTGCAGGGTCCAGGGAAGTCTCAGTCTGCCTGCTGACAGGAGCCTCGTGTCGGAAGGTAGAGCAGGATTATGGCAAGAGGGTGTGAACTGGAGTGAGAGCGTGTGCTTCTTCATTAGGCCAACAGATACTCACTCAGCCCCTAGGGTGGGCCAGGCGCAGTGCTAGGCAGGCTGTGGGCTGGTAGCCTTCTTCAGCCAGGGTTCTGCAAGAGAGTGAAGCCTTCTTACCTTAAGGCGTTTAGCATGTGTGAGGAATGAACTCCTCTGTGCACCTAGAATGGTAGCAGACATTTCTGTATTCTGGGATTCAGCTGTGAACAGTGCAGACCAGGGGCATGCTCTCACGGGCTGAGGGGCCGCTGACACTGTAAGCAGGCCAGGTAAGTAGAGATGTGGTTAGTGCTGGTCGGGGAAGAGGTGACGTGGCTGCGAACTGAGGGAGAGGAGGGGCCATGGAGGAGCTAAGGGAGCAGAGTCCTGGGGAGGCAAACAGCACACATAAAACCTACAAGGTAGCGCCCCTGTGCCTGGGGGGACGCCTGGCCTGACAGCAGGTGTGTTTGGAGCCAAGCTCAGTTCCCAGGGGATCCTGGGGCCCTCCAGCTGAGTGCCCGGGAAGGCCTCGAAACAGTCAAAGTATCACAGGATGTAGCTTACATTTTAAAATAACCATTGTTGATTACTTTTTATTCTAAAATAATTCCAGATTTACAGAAAAGCTGTAAGAGTCACCAACTATGAACATTTGCTTTATTGCTCTGTTATATTCGCCGCGCCCCACCCTAACTCTGCAGGAGTAGATTATGGTACCACATCCCTTTACCTCTGAATACCTCAGTGTGTTCCCTCAAGTATCCGCAGCATAAAGTTTGATACTAGGAAATTAATATTGCAGTGTTGCTAGTATCTCTAAACCTCACCCATGTTTCTCCACAGTAGCATTTCTTTACAGAAACCAAAATGAAGCCAACCAACCAACCAAGCTAAAACCTCAGACCTGTGGTCCACTCCACGAATTCATGTTCGACGTAGCTGTCATGTCAGTTTAGTCTCCTGTAATCTGGATCTGTTTCTTCACCTGTCTGTCTCTCCATGGTGATCGGCCTTATTTTTGCTCAGGCCTGGGCTCAGCTGATGCCGTTGGGACAGGAATGTCACCGACATAGAGCTCTGCTCCCCGCACCCTCTCGGGCGGGGGCACACCATGTGCCCTTGTTACTTGGATGCTAACTTGAACACTTGGGTAAGGTCCTGCCCCACAGGCCTCTGTACTGTAGAAGCACTAGTTTTCCCTTTGTCACTAATGCGTTTTGTGGAGCTTGTCTGAGACCATGTGTATATTGAAAACCCTGCCCCCTGGTTTTAGCGTCTACTGATGATTCTCCCCTGAATCTATTACTACTCTAGTCAGACAGCCAACCTCTAACATCAGCATTCTTTCAATGTTGATTTGTTGGCATCCCTTTATAAGGAAGAGCTTTTCCTTTACCACATCTTATCTATTAGTCATTTACTTGCATCAGTACAAGTTCTGGGAATCCCGTCTTTCAAATGTGCTACAACCAACATTATTGTCACAAACGTGTCATCCCACATTTGCCAGTGAGAGCTTTGAGCTGGCTCTTGCATTCTTGACCCATCCTCTCGTTCCGTGCACATTTCCTTAATCTCCAATACAACGTGATTTTTCAGGTTTGTCTTGGACATCGCCTATTCCAGCCTTGGATTCAGGAAGCCCTCGGTTACTCTTTGTGGGGAACGGTATTTAGACACCAAGATCGGGGTATAGTGTGTCCATTTTTAAATCTCTGTGGCCAGATCTAATGACCCTCAGAGTTGCAGAATTTTGATGTTAAGAAGTTTAAGAAATTCCATGTAGCCCCAGAATGATGTGGAAAGAGCTCGGGACTGGGAGCTCTGATTCTGCCACTCACTAGGAAATCCTCTCGCCTCCCTGGCCTTGTATAAAGCATGGAGGGCAAATTAGATTATTTCTCAGCCTTGGCCCTGTTCTAAAGCTGTCTTCCTGCTGCCTCTCACCTGTGCCAGTTGCTAAGGCCACTGGAACTGGCAGGATAAAGGTGGAGTAGCCAACGGGGATGTCCAGACCATGCTGACAAGTAAGGAAACCACAGGGAGGCCACACTGTCCCTCTTCAACCCTGCACCGGGGGTGAGGACCAGGGCTGTGACCTGGGAGCCTGACCGGGGCTGCCCAGTCCTCACTGATGTCATGGTTGGGACACATTCACCATCATTGTGGCTTCTCCTTCTGGCAAACTCGCTAGACCCCCAAAGCTTCCATCATTTCTCTCTTTTTGTACACTGTGTTCATTGTTCTCTCTCTGTCTCTCTCAGTCATTCTCCAAACTTTCTGTGTTTAGAGGCAATAAAATTAGTGATCCCCAAAAGAAGAAATACAAATTTACCAATAAATACATGAATATGTGCGGCCTTGCCACTTTGGGGCGGGGTGGGGGGATGGGTTACCTGACAGAGGAGCTGACTGAGGACAGAACAGCAGTTTGCGCCCAGCCCCACGGAAGGGACGTGCCCTGCTCACGTGTGCTGTACCGGAGGCCTGCGCTGGTGTGAGCTCTGGCCAGCGCACTTCAGCGATAGCTGCTCAAAGCCCCAGAGCTTTCCATAGCCATTACCCAGTAGTCCTCTGTAGGGATTTATTCAGAAAGTTAAAAAAAAATTTTCAAACAACCTAAAAGCTCAGTAACAATGGATTGAGTAATTCACTTATGACACATCCATGCAGTGAAATACTGTGCAAACGTTAAAATTTGTGTCATAGAAGATTACATGAGAATGGTTCATAAATTGTCAGGATAACTCATTGCAAATCTGCATGTAGCTCCTGAGACTATTTTTTAAAAAGGAAAGACTAGGTTTATTAAAATGAAGCATAAAAGCGGTTTTCGCTGGCTCGTTAGCTCCAGGAGGTGAGCTTGCTGTGACTTTCCATTTTCATCGTTGGACTCATCCGTGTCTTGACAACAAGCGTGTGTCACTTTGTTGTAAGAAACCTGTTACTGTAGAAAAAGCCACGGCCCCACTTTTCTGAGCAGGGGTCCCTCAGGCTGCTCCTGCTGGGTACGAAGGTGACTCTCCCGTGGTCAGCTGTCTGTGTATTGTCTTCAGATAGAATGTTGATTCGGGGTGAGGATGCCTGCCATCCAGGTGGGGATTGTGTGGGGATGCAGGCATGTGGGGTTTATGCCTGGCCTGCGAGTGCAGCCGGGCCGGGTCCTGATCTTCCCCCCCCCTCTGTCCAGCCTCTTCCCTCTCTTCCTCCGTCCCAACCACTTCCATTAGCTTTCCCCAGCTGTCTTCCCTCCCACTTCCTCTCTTGCTGGTCCAGGGATGTATTGCTGTAGAACACCCCAAACCTCCGTGGCTTGGAATAGAAATTCATTCTGCAATTTGTGCAGAGTTCAGTGCGGTCAGGTCAGCTGTGCCCCATGCCCCATGCAGCGGCGTCCACTGAGCTTGCTGGGAGAGGACAGTCAGTCTCCTGCCAAGATGGCTCCCTCACGTGGCTGAGTAACCCGAGGTGGCTGCCGGTGCCTTTCCACCTGGGCTTCTCCGTGGGCCGTGCAGGCTTCCCTCTGGTTCTGCGGTTGGATTCTGTATGAGTTTGCTGGAGCTGCCATAACAAATACCGTAGACTGGGCAGTGGAGACCACAGACGCTTGTTTTCTCGCACTTCTGGAGGCGGGGTCCGAGACGAAGGTGTCAGCAGTGCTGACTGCAGCACTGGCAGGTGCTGGCAGGTGGCCACCTTCTCCCCGCATCCTCAGTCTCCTCTCTCTGCCGGTGGCCACCGGGTGTCTTCCTCTTCTTGCATAAGGACACATATTGTGTTGTATTGGGCCTACTCTCACAGCCTCATTGTAATTCGGTCACCCCTTAAAGACTTCATCTCCAAATGGAGTTCCGCTCTGAGTTACTAGAGATTAGAACTTCAACTCAGGAAATTGGGGAAAGTGGGAGGACAGAATTCAACCCATGACAGGTTCAAGAAGACAGAGGCTGGCCTGGTGTAGTGGGTTAAACACCACCTGTAATGCCGACATCCCATGTGGGCACCAATTCAAGTCCCTGCTGCTCCAGTTCCAATGCAGCTCCCTGCTAATGGCTTGGGGAACACAGCAGAAGATGGACCGAGTGCTTGGGCCCCTGCCACCCATATGGGAGACCCTGATGAAGCTTCTTGCTCCTGGCTTCCACTTGGCCCAGCACTGGCTGTTGTAGCCATCTGAGGGGTGAACCAGTAGATGGAAGATTTCTCTGTCTCTTCGTTTCTCTCTGTAACTCTGACTTTCAAAATAGATAAATAAAACTTAAAGAAAAAAAAAAAAGACACCGAGAGCAGTAACCACCAGTTCCCTAAGGCTTGGGCCACCAAGCTGGCACTGCAGGATTTCCTCCATTTGCTGCGGGTCAGGGTCATAAAGTCCATGTTCAAAGGGAGGCGGCACAGACACCCCCCCCCACCTCTGGATGGAACAGGTGTCAAAGAATGTTGGAGCTGCGTTTTCGACCACCAGTCTTGTTTTGGGTATAACCATCCCCCGGTATCCGTGGGGCATTGGGTGCAGAACCCCTACAAGATACCAAAATGCACAGATGGTCATGTCCCTTGTGGAGGTGGCATTGCATCCACACAGAACCTACTCAGCTCCTCCTGTACCTTCCAGATCCTCTTTGGATGAAACCTAACCCAAGACAAATGTTGTGAAAATAGTTGCCACAGTGTGCTGTTTTAGGAATAGTGACAAGGAGACGGTCTTCATGTTCAGTACAGATGCAATTATTTTTTTTCAATCTGTGGTTATTTAAATCCATGGATGCAGACCCTCTGAATGCAGACGTCAGCTGACCATGTAACACTGCTCTAAGCTGACCCTCAGCTGGAGAACCACACCTCTCTCTGTCTTAGCCCTGAATGAAAATGTGTTTCTCACTCCTTTAATAAAATATGCTTGGTAGTCATGATGATCCCATCTGCTGTTCTATTTTTTTTTTTTTTTTTTTGACAGGCAGAGTTAGACAGTGAGAGAGAGAGAGAGGCAGGTGGTTTACCCCCCAAGTGGCCGCTATGGCCGGCACGTTGCGGCCAGCGCACTGCGCTGATCCAAAGCCAGGAGCCAGGTGCTTCCTCCTGGTCTCCCATGCAGGTGCAGGGCCCAAGTACTTGGGCCATCCTCCACTGCCCTCCCGGGCCACAGCAGAGAGCTGGACTGGAAGAGGAGCAACTGGGACAGAATCCTGCGCCCCAACCAGGACTAGAACCTGGGGTGCCGGCGCGGGAGGCAGAGGATTAGCCTAGTGAGCCACAGCGCCAGCCCCGTCTGCTGTTCTAGTATCACAGACTGCTGAGGAAGGTTTCCAGCTGATAGCTAAAGGGCATGAGTTGAAAGTCACTACCACTCCCCCGCTTGGCCAAATATGGTGGTGGTGGTGGGGGGGGGCTGTTCATTGAGGGGCAGCTGGAAGCCTAGGGAATGGTTCTATGTCTGTTATACTTTTCCTGGTGTTTATTCATTCCACGACATCCTCTCCCTTTAAATGTACGATCAGATGGGAGGGTGGGGACAGCTCTGTGGTGCAGAGAAGTAAGCTGCCGCTTGCAAAGCCAGCATCGTGTAGCAGAGTGCTGGTGGGGTTGTAGCTGCTCTGCTTCCAATCCAGCTCCCTGCTCGTGTGCTGGGAAAGCAGTGGAAGAGGATCCCCACCACCCGTGTGGGATGGAGTTCTAGGCTCCTGTCTGTTGTGGCCACCTGGGGAGTGAACCAGAGGATGGAAGATTCTCTCTTTCTCTCTCTCTCCTCCCCCCTCCTTGTCACTCTGCCTTACATATAAATAAATATTTTTATAAACAATGAACAATCAGATGCATTTGCATATTTCTTAAGTTTGTCTATTTTACCCTAGCAGATACCACCCACAATACATCTTGGCGGGTTTTATTCTCCGCAGTATCCTAAGTGTTTAGAATCGTGCCTGGCCCAGAGCAGCAGGCATTTAATAAATATTTACTAAATGGATAAAAACGTGAGTCGATTGGTGCTCTGTGACCCTTAACTTTCAGGTTGTCTGTTATGCCGTCTTTCTCTTCCTGACAGTATAAGCAGGCTGTCCGAGAGCTTGTGCGCTGCTTAGCACTGACGAGAATTTGCTATGGCGACTCCCACTGGAAACTGGCGGAGGCACACATTAACCTGGCTCAAGGCTACCTCCAGCTGAAAGGTGAGCGCCCGCCCTCCATGCAGACTGGTTCCTGCTTCCAAATTTGAGTCACAGATAACGGGAAGGATGAGATTTTGCATATTCTCCTTTACAGCACTGGGAAGCCATTTCTTTCTAGAAAGCGTTAATAAACATTCAGAAGAGAAAAGGGAAGACAGACAGACCCTTCTGGGTTTTGTGTTCTGTGACCTTGAAGTAGGGTTCTTAGGAGATGAGGAGTCCCAATGGTTAGAAGGCTTTGTCAGCAGACTCTGAAGCACAGAATGCAGACCGAGATCGGGATCGACCCACATTTTTATTGACAGGGAGTCTCTTGACTCTGAGTAACAAAAAAGTAAAAGGCTAGCCCAAACTGACACAAACAGAAATGTATGGCGGGGCTGGCGCTGTGGCTCAGCCAAGCCGCAGCTTTACAGCATCCCATAGCAAAGTGCTGGTTCAAGTCCTGGCTCCTCTGCTTCCGCTCCAGCTCCATGCTGATGCACCTGGGAAAGCAGCAAATGATGGTCCATGTACTTGGGCTTCTGACACCCAGTTGGGAGACCCGTATGGAGTTCTAGGCTCCTGGCTTCAACCTGGTCCAGCCCTGGCTGTTGTGGCCATACAAACAACTTAAAACTCTAAGATTAAAATTTCTTTAGCCAAGCCATATCCAGATGTTCAAACAGTGAGACCAGAATTCTGTTTCTGTTCTTGCTATTGGCGCCATTCTTAGCCTTTGCCCACATGGCAGTGGCTTTAGGCTTCCCTTACAATCATTCCCAGGAGAAAAACAATGAGTCTCCTTTAGGATCCCAGGATTTGATGATGGGGTGGGAGGTGGGGGTCCAACCGACCAACTTGGGTTGCATAGCAAATGCGAGAGGTAGTCTGATGGCCTCTTGGCTCCACTGGGTTCTGGGGGAGAAGCTGGCCTTGGCTGTCACACGTGGATTGGGTATGCAGGGCCTGGACATCCTAGCAGGAAAACAGAACAAGAGGAAATGGATATAGGAAAGGCAAAAACAACAGATTCCCCACATGTGATGTCTTCTCACCGACTGTGCAGCCTAGGACAGGACATGCAAGGGATCATCTCTGCAGGCAGGCCTCCAGCTGGAGATGATGATGATGGCGATGATGATGATGATGAAGACGCTGACCCCCAGGGTGGGTCCAGTGATGCCTGGAATACTACAAGTGGAAGAGACTAAACTGCCCTCCATAGGAATGCCACCCGATAGATTTGGCCAAACCTCCTTAGAGACTGGTCCTTGTGGAAGACCACTGTAAGAACCAGAGGGGACCTTGGAGATGGTTTTGTCTAACCTTGCCCCCTGGTCCCGGTTTCTGATTCAGAGGAAATGACAAGTCTGAGCTGAAACCGCTTGCTGCAGATCACGCTGCTAGTACGCCCCGATCAGCCTCAGACCGGGCTCTCACGTGCAGGGGCCTTGCTGTCTCGGATCCAAGCGGTACCTCGCTCCCCCTGCCGCCTTCCTGGGTGGCAGCGTTTCTCTCTCAGCTGGAAGTGGAAGCGTGCCTGCTGGTTATTAGGCTCTAGCTCAACCCCTCGCGCCGTGCTGTTTTCCACATAGAGCTTCACTCGCTCTTCACCTCACTCCTGGGAGATGGGTGTTCGTGTTCTCTCTGCTCACAGCTGAGGAAGCCGACGCCCACGTCTCAGGAATCCGTCCTGGGCATTCTGAACTCAGAGCCGGTGCCCTTCCCCTCAGCCCACGCTGAGGAAGAGTGAGGTCCTGAACGGCCCGGACGTCCCCAGGCCTTGTGTGGTACCACGGGCATAGCTGACTCTAACGCATTTCTGGCAAGTTAAGGATGTGCTTTTTAAAAAATAAGACACAGGGGCGAATATTTGGCCTAAAGGTTCAGGTGCCTGTTAGGACTCCCACGTTCCACATTCAAGGTACCTAAGTTCAATCCCGGCTCAGAGTCCTGATTCCAGCATTCTTATGCCTTCCTCGGGAAGCAGTGGCGAGGAAGTAGGCGGGTCCCTGTCGCCCGTGTGGGAGACCTTGATTGAGCTCCCAGCTCCTGGCTCAGGTTCCCTCAGCCGATGCGGGAACCAGTGGACAGGTAAGTTCTCTATCTCTCTCAAACATTAAAAAAAAATTGATTTATTTAAAAAAATGAGACACATAAAATTCAGTGAGAGTTCCCACATGAAGAGCATAGCTTTGATTTTTCTCCGTGAGACATCTGATAGACGCAGGAACAGAATTAACTTGGTATTTTGACTGCTTTTGCTGAAATTTGAACTCCGATTCACGTAACTAAGAAATAAGACAGGGATATATGATGTGAGTAGGAGGTGGTGTCAGAGCAGGAATAGGGCAGGAGTGGGGGAAGCAAACAGGCTAGAATTCTCGAAGTGATCCCGTGTCACCCTGTGCACACCGAGAAGCTGGGGGACACCAGGGCGCACTGGGGCGTCTGTTCTCAGCAGCAGTTTTGTTGGCTTCGTTTGGCTCCTCTTTGTCTCATGGTAGCCTGCTGCCACGGAGGAGTGAGAGGTCGATGCGCACTCGTCCGTTTCCTCCTTGGAGTCAGCTCTAGCAGTATGGTTGTAGATGCACGATCAGAAGATCCAGAATTTTTAGTATTTCATTAAGACTGCTGTCACCGAGCCAGGGTAAAAATTCACGAGTACCTTATTTCCTGCCCAGAATGCTAGAGTCCTTGTCTTCCATTTATTTTTTGTAATTACCTATAACATTTTACATCTGATATTGGTAAGGTTTCAAAGCTGTTCAATCCCAGCTCATTCTGTTTATTTCTTAGAAAGGCCACTTGGGGAAAATTTTGTCTTCAGTACTTGGTAAAAAATGCTTCTTTGGTTGTTCCAGTCATGGGAAAATTCCGTGCGGCCCAGGTACAGCTCCATGTGCCACGTGGCCATGCGTGAAGACAGAGAACCACGCTCCTGTCCATGTGTTAAGAAGGAAACTGAGATGACGTCTTTTCTGGTCCGTAGGTCTCTCACTGCAAGCAAAGCAACACGCAGAAAAAGCCCAGGAGATCCTCCTCACTAACTCCATTGGGCCCCCACGTAGTGACAACACGGGAGTTTTCAAGTGTTCCGTGGAGCTCTTCCACACCATGGGGAGAGCCTTGCTCGACCTTAGGAAGTATCCTTCTGTCTGTGTCTTCACAAACAGAAATCCTCCCTGTGCTACGCGTTCTCAAGGGCAAAGGAAAAGCTGACAGGGACTCAGGAGGGCCAGGGGAAGTCGGGGGCTGGGGAAGCCGAGCGCCAGGGCCCCGCATGCAGACCAAGGTGGGGAATGTTTCCTGAATGCAGTTCAGATTTAAGGAAGCCTCGGAGAACTTGGAAAAAGCGGAGAGACTTTCAGAGGAACTGCTGCAACGGGGAAGGATCGTAAAGGAAGAATGGCTGGCAACTCAAGCGCGGATCAAGTGGTCATTTGCACAGTAAGTTTCAAGGTCAGGACTTTGTGCTTGGTGGCTAGGGGTTCTTTGCCAGTGGCATCTGTCTTCAGGTAGGAGGAGTTCCTCCCTGGGGTTGTATCCATGACTTCTCCCAAGGCCCCTGTCCAGAAATGAAAGAGGAACACAGCCGTGTCAGAGCAGCCCCAGCAAGACACAGACCTCAGTGTTGCTCTGCCCTCATGCCCACCTTGGGTCCTGAGTTCTCACCGTGTTCTCTTGACTTTTTCTGCCTGCTCTTCCTCCCTACCCCTTGACCCTGACCCTGTACCCTTCTCTTCCTTTCTCCCTTCCTTTTCTCCCCCACTGCTCCATCTGAAACGCTTCAGTAGATTGATTTTGTGATTAGGGCCTCCAAGGAAAAAGATCTTAAACTTACCTGAACCCATGACCCCGAGAGGATTGCTCTTGGCTCCTCACCAAATAAACCCAGCTGGAAGAGGTAGAAAGAGAGGGGGATGGGCCTTGGGTAGCTGGTCCATTTGTCTCTCCCAGGGGGCCAGCTCTAAGCCATTCCCCTGGAGTGCTGCAGTGAGAAAGCAGGCCCAGCTCTTTGGAAGGATGGGTCTGTGGTGGGAGGAAGGTTGGAAGGGGCTGCCCTACAAGAGTGGAGGATCACAGTTGACCGGCATGGCTGCCCTTAGCCGAAGCTGGAAGAATTCAGTCTACCTCTGTAACCTTCCAGTTTGGTTCCCAAAAAACTCAGAGACCTGGCAGAAATCATTTTTAAGAAAGATTTTGGGAAAGAACCCTAATAGGACACACCTAATCCTCCCGTGTGTGTGTGTGTGTGTGTGTGTGTCTGAGTGGGGGCGGGGGGGACATGTGCACCATGTTTCCTTGTTAATTAGTTTGGTTTGGTTTGGAGATTTTTTTTTAACTTTACCTACCAACTTCATCAGTCCACTCCAGCTCCTTAGTTTTTTTTTTTTTTTTAATTCATTTCCCCCTTCATTTCTGAGTTTGATTCTCATATCCTCGCCATTATAGATGCCTGTTTTAATGATGGTCTATTCCACTAAATATATAACTTGGAATGGGAAATTGTGTTGCTTTGTGTACTGATGAGTTTCAAGTTTGTTCATATTCGAAGTAGGAGTCTCTGCTCTCTTTTCTCCACCCAGCTCTTCATTACTGCGTCTATTTTGTTTATTGCTTTTGGCTTCTGCACGGTGCTGCGCAGGATGCACTTGCCCTTCTCTGCTTCCCCGTCCCCCCGCAGTGGACACGCAGCTTGTCCCCAGCCCTGTGCCACCACAGTAGGGCTGCTCTGAACACCCCAATGCAACCGGACTTAACGTAGCTGAGCAAGACTTGTTCTGAACTTGGTCTGCAAGTTACTCTTTAGTCCGGAGATTTTTCAAGGGAGGTATGTTTGAGGTATCTTGATATTGTTGATATCTAATTTTATTCAGTTGTGGACAGAAACATCATCTGTATGGTATCAACTCTGAACTTATGGAAGCTTCCCCTGCAGCCTGGTCCATGGTCACTTTCTGTGAATGTTCCAAAGGCAGCCGTGCACAATACGGTGGTGTTCTGGTTGATGCCGCCCTGTGTGGACGCTGGCGGGCTCCCAGCGTTGCAGCCGTCCTGGTTTGTGTAAGTGTGTGCCGTGTTCGCACAAGGATGAACGTGGCTGAGAGGTCATTGCTCAGAAGGTACCTGTCTGTCGTCAAGCAGCACATGGCCGTGGGCTGCCAAGGACATGCGTTCTTTATTTGTTGTGTGTCATGCTGCAGTGCCTTAGGTTGACCTCATAATTCTGTTACTCAACTTTGTGCCTTTGCTTTTTTGCCACTTGGACATCGTAGTTTTTAGGATGAGTGTGTTTAAACCTCCAGCTACACATGGGCCATCTCTATCTCCTTATAACTCTGCTAGTTGTTTTGTATTCTAAGGCTCCTTTGGGAGGGGATCAACAGTAGCGTATCTTCCTACTCTAGTATTTCGTCGATAGTATATCTTGTCCTTTTTGTCCCCTGTATTTATATTTATTTTGCCTGATATTTTACCCTGGCTTTATTTCAATACAGCTTTTCCTGTAGTATCTTTTTCATTTAAATTTTGTTTTCATTTTTAAAATTTTTAGTTGGGTTTAAATTTCCTTGTGTCTTATCAGTTTTATGTTCATTTATCTTTTCTTGCTTTCCTTGATGTTCATCAAATATTTTTATCATTCCTTTTTCCTCTCCATTGACTTGTAAGTCATACCTTGTTTTATTTTAATCTGGTGGTAATTATAAAGTCTGTCACTGATATCCTTGACTTATTAGAATTTGATTGTCAATTAGTCAATTAAGCACTTGCAGGACAAGGACAGGACCTTTGCACATGCTAACTCTGTACTCGTCTCTGCTTGCTGCTCTTTTCTTATATTTATGTCACCACGTGTTTTATGGCATAGCACAGACAACCGCCGAGAGGAGGAAGGGGTTTGTAATGTGCGTAAGTGACCCAGGGGCTGTCCCTAGAATCTGTAAGGAGCCCTATATATTACTAAAACAGTCAACCTAGAAAAATGGGCAAGTGGCTTTATAAAAAAGATAGCCACATAGCTACTGAACATATGAAAAGATGTTTTAGCCCTCAGTTATCAGAATAATGAAAATTAAAAATCACAATTCCCACGAGAATGGCTGAAAAAATTTTAGAGACTGATAGCATCAAGTGTCAGCAAGTCTGCGGTTCCGCACCCTCTCCTGTGCTGCTGTTTGGAATACGTTTGGAGTGACTGCCCTGGAGTGCTGTTTGGTCTGTCTGCTAAACGTGCACATTCGCACCGGCTGTAGCCCAGCAGTCTCACTCCTGAGTGCAAACTCAACAGCAACAGCCACACAGCAGAAATGTGTACATTTATGCACCAAGAGACACATCCAGGAAGTCCAAAGCTACGTTGTTTATAAGCAAGAACCGGAAGTAGCCAATGTCTTCATCGACATAGGATAACTTTTGGATGTTTCCACCAGAAAGAAATGTTAAATGCTTGGAGGAATAGATAAGTTTGTTCTGGGTGGACCTTATACAACAATGTCACAGGGCTTCCTAGAGATACATACAATTTTTATGTAAGTTTTTTTTTGTTTGTTTGTTTGTTTTTGACAGGCAGAGTTAGGCAGTGAGAGGGAGACAGAGAGAAAGGTCTTCCTTCCGTTGGCTCACCCCTCAAATGGCTGCTGTGGCCGGCACACTGCGCCGATCTGAAGCCAGGAGCCAGGTGCTTCCTCCTGGTCTCCCATGCGGGTGCAGGGCCCAAGGACCTGGGCCATCTCCACTGCCCTCCCGGGTCACAGCAGAGAGCTGGACTGGAAGAGGAGCAACCGGGACAGAATCTGGTGCCCGACCAGGACTAGAACCTGGAGTGCCGGCGCCGCAGGCGGAGGATTAGCCTAGTGAGCCGCAGCACCGGCCAATGTAAGCTTTTTTTTTTTTTTTTTATTTTACATATTTTAAAAAGTAGCATAGATAAAATTGTGATCTTTTGGTGACCAAGAAAATGATCAGGCTATGCTTACGCTTGATTCTTATCAACATAATGCTGGGTGACAGAAACCAAGCCCAAACGGCCGTCATATAGGATTCCACAGGTGGGTCGTCCAGTGCAGTCTCTCCCTTCCATCTTGTAAGACAGGATAAAAATGAATCAGAGGTCTGAGATGTGGCATTTGCTGCATCTGTCGGGGCCTGACTAATGTATTATAGCTTAATACTGAGCAGTGTTTTTACAAAACTGTAAATTATCTCCTGCCATAATCTGCCACCTTCTTGGAGTCTGGCTTTTAAATTAGCAGTACCAAACCTTGCCAGCAGATGGCGAGGCCCGTTCGCGTCAGGGCTGAACACAACCAGCAGTTCAGTTCGCATTCCAGGCTGACCTACGAAGTCACGTGTACTTTCTGTGTTAGCAGAGTTGTTCCAACTTTGCCACTCTTTTCATCCTGAATCTCCACCCTGACATCTTCACTGCGTCGTGCGTGTTTACACTGCGTGATTCCCACGCACTCACTCTGCTTTCCATCCGCATTGAAATGCAACTGTGTTGTTCAAACTGATCGGCTTCCGGAAGTAACAGAGCTCTGGTTTTACCCATTTTTGTGGTCACACGTGAACCACAGCGGTCTTTTCCTTTGCCAGGTCTTGGAGGTGGGAAGGCCGGGATAATCTCTCAGGCAGCTCTCATGGGACTTACGTGCCTCTTAAAGGAGATCTTTCTGTGAATCCTCTTCCTCCTCCTGCCTCTCCTTTTATGGTGCCTGCCAGGCCAGGCCAGTGCCTTGCTCGCTGGGCTGGCGGACAGTTAAGTGCTGCAGGGTGACTCATGCCTCACCGTGCCTGAGGGCCTCCCCCTGCTCCTCCTCTGCCCCAGCCCTGCTTCATCAGTTCTGACTTCTTAATTTAGGAGAGCGAATCCAAGCCATGTGTCCCTATGTTGTATTTCTATAAATCTGTTAAAGTCTCTGGGAAAAAACGGGCATACTTTTCCCAGATGTGAAAAATTATCTTCTGTCCTGGTCACAGAAAGATAGATCCACAGGGACAGACAGCTGTCTTTGTACCTGTGAACACTGCTGTGCACAAAGGCACACACGCATGTCTTTCTAAATCACCCCTCCACATGGCATGGCTGTGGTGCTCTGCTGCTCAGGAACCCCCGGCCTCCCAGCCTTCCCTGTGACTGCACTACCTGGTGCTTTTGGCTCCATGCACAGCCTGCCCAGCAGGCGCTGGCCTGGCCTGGCCGTGCCTAACTAGCCCAGGAATAAGTAAATACTTTTCATATTGAGAGCATCAACAGGACACCTGGCAGGTGTTTCAAGGCAGTGGGTTGTGGAGTCAGAATCCCGGGGTTCAAATCAGTGTTCACTCCGACTTGGATAAATCCTGGCTTCCTTTGAGGCTCTCTTGGGTCTCCTGTTAGCCTGGGAATGGCAGGACCTCAGTGTGTTGCTGGGAAGAGTAAATGGACACCACGTTAAAGTGTCTGG